TTTGCCTTTTAATAACATTTAGTTTTCCTGTTTGATATCTTATACTTCGAATGCGCTCAAAGACATGGTGGAGATTGTATTTTCGCGGAAAAAAGGTGCCCTAAAATGTGTCTAAAAATAAACTGGTCCGTAAAAGCGCCGTAACATAGGTCTAGTATGGGAGTTGCCCGCTCCGGGTTGTGGGATCCTGGTCACGTGACACAAATCGTTCCCTTGAAGTGTGACACACTTGAAACATGAATGAGAAGACACACAAGGCTGTCCGTTATGTATAAGATGTACCGTGGTTTCCTAGATGGGAAATGAGAGGACCATTTGATTCCAAATAGAGAAAGGAGAACACCAGAAAGCCATGATTTTAACTTTTTTATTGTACCGAAAGGACATAAGTAAGGAGTATTTTTAGATTTTCCCTCTTTCCCGAGACAATAACTGAATGGAACAGACTCTCAAAAGAAACTGTCATAAGCCAATCTCAATTTTAGGTTTTCTTTTATCAGGGGAAACCAATGGCAATTTCCTCCTTAACACATCGAAAGCACTTTTTAGGCTCAAACTCTTATATTACGCTTGGGTCACCTGTGATCTTGGTCTGGAATCGGGTTTGGCTTTTGAGTAAACTACCGGAGTGTATGATGGTATTTATCGTTTCAATTCAAAATGAATAAGAGAGAAAGAGAAATGTGCAAATGCCTTCTAATGTAGGTAGACTTACCACAAGTCGACCTCACGACTTTCTAAGGGCGGTCTGAAAATGGATATGGATTTTATAGGCCTGGGGTGCTTACCATTTACACAAACAAAGCGGGTGGAAATCGTGTGCAAAAAAACAAAAAACTATAAAATTTAACGTGGTGGGAGAACGACTCTTTACAATGAGTGTGCAAATCAGCTAAACAGACTAGAAAGAGTGCAAAAATTGCATCCCTTCAAATCACAGCCCATGTTTTCTGAGGCTCCCCAAACGGAATGACGCCAGCCGTTTGATTAACCATCCAGAATTTCCGGATTTCCCAAGCAAATGGTAAGTACCCGAGGTCTGAAAACCGGTGTGAAAATGACATTTTTTGGTCTGAAGTAGGGTCAGGATTTGGCGAACCGGACGGCACACCCCCACCAAGAATTCTTAGGATTCCTCCCCCCGCCCCCGTTTCCTATGAACAATCAAATCAACAGCGTGCTACATCTGGCGATCCATTTACGCGAGCTAGGGCCAATATTCTGCCGGAAGGAGGGTTCAACATACCGAAATGTACTCGCTCGCTCGGTGTGTAGAATTGATCAATCGTTTAGAAAAGCTCGTGTTCATTTCTAAGAAAGTCAAAACTGAAAGTTAACTCGCGATGAAGAATTTGATTCACATGTGTCTCGCATGATTTTCGGTGTTTACATAGTCTTAGATCGATTTATTCGTAGTTATCCTACTAACAAGTTTGGGGATAAGAATAAGTAGCTGATCACCTGCCCATTTTCGTATGTATAGGCATTGAAGAAAGTGAACGTAGCATCTGAAAACAAAAGAAAACTCAGTTTATCGACAAGCGAACCAAGACAAACGTCAACAGCCGCGATGGCGGTTAGCAAAACAAGTAAAACACACTTCGGTTAACATATCCGAATGACAGTTCCAAACAAAAATCCTGTTAAGATGATTTAGGAAAACAAATACCTGCCGTCGTTTCTCTCCATAGTTGTAACAAACTTCTCGAACGTATGTGAAGAGCAGCTCCGGAGCAGGTTGAAAAGGTCCAGTTAGCTCGATGGACAGCCCGAGAGACCGCAAGTTAACTAAGTCGGTCATCAGGATGGGTTCCAGTCACTTGAAACTTTCTTGAATCGTTTCAACTTTCCGACTTTAATGAGATGCAAATTAAATTAAAGTTACATTGGGATTTTACTTAGGCGTTCACACACGCATATTTGGTTAAGTAAAACCTAACAGCTCTTAAGTCTTACTTAAAGCCTAGTGTAGAGACAACCATTCTTTACTAGTAAAGCCTGAAGTATTTAAGTAATCCTTGTACTATACGATGTATCCTGGCCACGTATAAGCTAGGGTATCGAGGGGAGGGGTCCTAGTTCAGTTGTTTCCATTTAAAAATCGCTTTTGTTCCCTTGTTTCCGCTGTTATTCAGAACCTCGTTTCAAGCTAAACCTTTTTCTGTTTCCCCTCAAAACATTGAAAACCACGAACTTTTACTAATGCTCGTTAATTTGTGTTGTACCTTTCCAACTTACAGACTATCGCAATATCCCATCAATCGTAAGAATAGATCTTAATATTGTTCCCTTATACTGTCAGTTGTCGTTCTTACGTTATCTGTGCTGACTGATAACCGATTCAGATTCCGAATGTGGAGTGGCCAAAGCAGCTTATGGGCTTTCGCGTTGGTCACTGCCACTTGCAGTTAACTGGCTTAGCCGTAGGTATGAATATTATATATGTTAAAACAGAAGAACGAGTTAAGGAACTGACCCCAGTTTTTCAAAAGTTGGTTAGCGTTATTCACTGGATAAATCACTATCCAGTGGATGTGTCAGGAAAATCAATTGCTTTATCCACTAGATAGTGGTTTATTAGGTGGACAGTGTTATCCACCTTTTGACCAACTGGGGCCAGATGGGATATTCATGAAAGGTAAGGTTTGTATTTTTCGTAGAATTGGGTTTAAGTTTTTTTTATTCTAATTAATTAGTTGTGATGTAAACAAGAGAAAACGTAGTGCCACCACAATCATTATTTACCCTTGCCAATGAAAATTCAGGTTCGCAACAAATCTGGTATCATGGCGGGGCTTTCTCGCGCGAAGCGCACCAGCGGAGCACCATGGGTAAGAAAATGAAGTAATCTATCCATCCAAGAAAATTTGGTAATCACGTGACCGTACACCAACCGACCGCCCGAGCGACCGCCCGTCCGCATCACAGGCATACCAATGTAAAATAACTCAATCAACAGGTATGGCAACCCAAATGCAACTCGAGGTTATTTTGGCGGGAAATCGCATAGCCACGTGCGTCTTGTAAGGCATGGAACAACTAAAGAGTCAATAAAGACGAAAACGAAAAGCGGAAATTGTTTCTGTATCCGTGTTGTCTAAAGTATTTAGTTTAGACTAATTGTCATGTCCACAAATTTGGAATATAGAGCAGGAGAAAGACAGAGAAAAAGAGAAAGTAGGCGGTAGGCCAGCGAAGCACAATGAGAAAAAGGGCGACAAAGGTCTAGAGCGAGAGATAAAAAACAAAGGAGACATTTTTTACTGGAAGAACAACATCAAGATTTTGTAGCGGTGGTGAAAAAATGGGAATTGCTAGCGGCCACCAATGCAAGGTGAAAATAAGCGGCAGTGAAAAAAAGTGAACGAGAACACGTACGAGATTTTCTCCATAAAACTTGTAACTAAGAAGTTTCTGGAAGTTTCACGTTGTAGTAGTGCAAAAAAAAAAACGGCAAAGAAAAGTACAAAAAACTGTGCTGCACGTGCAAAGTTGCTTTTTTTTGCTAATTACACCCATTGTTGTTTATCACCATTCTCCAGCGTTGCCTTCGCCGCTTAACATTACACGATTTTATATTTTTTTGAACAGACTATAAATATTATCGAGAGCTTCGCTTTTAGCCCTGGCTAAATCTTTATATTAACTATGTTCGTTAGAGACTGGTGGGGGTAAAATAAGTGCTTCAATGTACGAAGATGTCTTATGGCTTATTTCATAAATAATTCCATTTTTTCTTGTTCATTGTTAATTTTTCAGTTATGCTGCTACTGACACTTCACATTTCGGTATTTATATCTTTTGTATGTCAAAAATTTTCTCGTCGCTTTTCCCACCCATTCCACAAATCAAAAAGATCAACATGCCTATCTTTCCGTTCCGATAATTTACTGCATTATTTACTGGCAAGAGAAGACGATTAACTTGCACTGACATTCTCCTTAGCTGATCACTGCAAAAACCCTGCTACTATAGTCTTGCTTCTCGCCAAGTTTTACTTAGCACTCAGTCACCCAAAATAGAACTAGTTAATAATATTGTACGCATACCCAGTTTAACGACGGTCGAACGCCGCAATTCCCCGTGTATGGTCAAATCAAGCGCCCTGTAAGAACGTTTAACATGTTTAAAGACAATTAATTATTGGTTTGTCCTTCTTTTCACAGTGTTTTATTCCCGTGATCCCCAAAACAGTTTTATAATCTGTTGTTCCCTGAGATTTGTTTTCCTTTTCCACCTTTTCTCAGGTAAAAATGGCCAGTTCCCTCAAAGCCCCACATACTGTATCTTCCTGATACAGCTCTTATCTCTGTTGCAGACATCCTAAATAACTGCGCTCTGAGGTATTAAACGCTAGCTATGTTCCGAAAAACATCTATCATGTTGCATCATCTTTGAACTTTATAGTGTTTAAATAGCATCGTACCCTCTTTCAATTTGAGCAATCAAAAACTTCGAGCGAAGGAACGAGCGGTATACCAAAAAACCTTTCCGTTGAATTTAAACTGTACTGAACGCCAGGCCTGGTGTTCTGCTCCATCAGGCTGCTGATTGTCATTCACTGAACTTAACGGACGACTTCGTTTAACCTTGGCTTAAAACCCCCCGCAATGTTTTAACGCAGCAGCCAACGTTGGCAACCACCGAGTAATAAGCATGATAAAAAGTTCTCGAAAAATCGGAATATGTTTAACTATAGAGAATATTTTTTTTCGTTTAAACATTAAGGATGAAGGTTGTCGATGCCTCCTTATTTTTGTACACAAACGCAAGTTGCACAACGATTATTTAAGAAAAGATAAGATTTCGAAAACAATAGATTTGGCGAATGGAATGACGTCGACGAATAGTCGTAGATTATCAATATCAGTAATTACACAAGTAAGAGTTTCATGGACAGTACCGCTCAAATGAACACATGGTTTGAAAGTGTACCCCTTTACTTTTAAAACACTGTATGTTCAATTGACAAACGTTTAAAGTTAGAAGAAAACAAAATCATGAACAGAGCTGGTTATTGCTGGCGTTGCGAAGCACCCTGTACACAACATTGTTCACGATGTGGGATGGCGTATTACTGCTCCAAGAGATGTCAGCAACAAGACAAGTGGCGACATAAACCCGACTGCGATGGAGCAGCGTTGAAAATGCAGTGCTCCGGCTGCAACGCTAAACAGGAGGGAATGTTGAAGTGCACCAACTGTTTGAACTCCTACTATTGCAACGCAGAATGTCAGAGAAGTGACTGGGAGAGACACAAGACTTTCTGTCAGGAGGCTGTTGACAAAACGTTGGTATTAGCTGGAGATATGAAGGAATTACTTGAGATCAAAAAGGATAACCCCGGCCTTCGATTTACTTATTATTGGGGGAATATGCCTGCTGTTGACCTGCTCAACTTGTCAATGAATGAAGGGGAAGAGTATTCCAATCCACTGGCATTGTTGCTTTGCGGAGTCGGTAATCCAAGGAATGTTTTACTTACGATTGCTTCGCTGCCTGATGTTTACACTCAACATGTGAGTTTCGTTTTGAATGACATCTGTCCTTGTACATTGGCAAGAACAGTTCTGCTTCTATACATATTATACAAAGGTATTTTGGATTGTTCGTTGTCTATTTTTTAACAGATCTACTTGTATGCGTACTTGTCTGACAGTGTCCCTTAGCGCCATTAAACAATGTTATTTTCAAATTATGAGATTGACATGACAGTCATTGACATTCTTGACAGCCAGTTGAACTGCCTCTATCTAACCTCCACTTCCTTCTGATACATTCTCCTCACTTCATATCAATATCCGTGGTCTACCAAAACACTTTGATGACTTATCAGAATTTCCTCTTACATTAAACAGGTCTTTCTCCGTTATTGCTGTTTCTGAAACGTGGTTACATAGGTCTAATTCTAATTTATTCCATTTTCCAGGCTATCATTTTATCTTTAGTCACAGATAACATAAGGCGGGTGGCGGGGTTGATCTTTATATTCAGTCTCACCTAAAATTTAAGCTTAGAACTAATCTCCAATCTTCTAAAAATACACTGTAAGAATCAGTCCTTGTGGAAATACAACCGCATAGGAAGAATATCATTGTTGGCTAATTTAATCGACCCCCTAATGCCTCGGTTGCTGATTTTAAAAAATCTCTCGATGGCATCTTATCAACTATCAGCTTTGAGAATAAGCTATCTTATCTCATGAGTGATTTTAATATCAATATCCTTAACTCGTAATCCCACCACTCTTCTAATGAGTTCATCAATCTTATGATTTTTAATAGTCTATATCTTTTGATTTCTAAGCCAACTCGCATAACCTCCTCAACTGCAACTCTGGTTGATAAAATTTTCACAAACAATCTTGAACACAGCATGAACAGTGGCATTCTCTACACTGATTTATCTAATCATCTCCCAATTTTTCAAGTCACTCATCTAAAATTAGATGCTGAATCATTTCGCCAAAAGAGATTGGCACGCCTCATTAACTCTGCAACAATTGCAGCATTCAGGTCTAGGTTGGAAACCACTGAATGGTCCCTAATCTATAACTCTGACTCTACCATTGATTCCTACGATACACTCTCTAGTCTTCTTATTTCAGGATATCATAAGTCATTTCCACTTAAACTTGTATACCCTGAATCGCGCGTTCTTCAAAACCCTGGTTTTCAAAAGGTCTCTGTATCCTGTAACAGGAAGAATTCTCTTTATTAAACAATTCCAAATAAACCCTACATCAATTATTGTAGTTTAATATGGGCATCTACATATGCTTATTACGTAGAACCACTTTATATACTTCAAAAGAAAGTCATTCGTATAATTACGTTTGCTCCTTCGCGCACACCCCCTAAGGCCCTTTTTTCTAAGCATAATATCCTTCCACTCCACTCTTACTATCTATAAATTCCATGTTGCTTGTTTTGTATTTTCACATTTTAATAGCATTTTACCTACTCCTGTTTCCTCGATCCTACATTTTAATTCTGAATATCACGATTATATGACTGTTCACGTTTTAATCTGCATAAAATCTGTCATAAGTATCAATTTGCCATCACTTGGCAAGCTCCGATTATTTGGAATGATATTCCGTTAACTGTGCGCAATAGCCTTACAATAAGTAACTTTAAAAAAAAAGTTAAGACTGCATTTTTTGAGTACTTGAATTAGCCTATGCATAAATTGTTGAAGGGCCATAGAATTTATATTTAAGTTTATAGTTTTATCTAACCTCTTGTCACCAATGTTGTATACCTTGTGGGACTATACTAGGTGTATTTGTTTGTATGGTTTATAGGAATTTATTAAAAACTGAATCATTGGATAATGCAATTCTAGCATTTTGATTGGCTTAGCCGTTATGGTATATGAGCTATTATACCATGCTCTCCATATGTGGTCGGTGTACGCGTCGGTTTAAAATTGGAAGCTAGCTGAGAATTTTTTTCGCAAAGGATAGAACGGCGCCCGAAGCAAATCGTTTTAATTCATTTCTTAGAATACTAGAAATGCAGTTTCGTCGAAAGAAAAAAGACAAAAACAGACAAAAAAGCCACAAGAGCTTGTTTGAAAGTTTCTCGAAAAACATATGAAAATACATGGAAATAAAGTACCATGACCAGCTACGAAAGAAGAAAAGTGTTGTTTCTCCATGGTCGCGAAGCCATTCGCCGATCGAGTCACTCGCCGATAGATAACTGCGGCTTGTTTATCCGACATCAAGAATATAAATCACAAGTAACCAGCTACAAATACAGGCTATGCAGCCATTCACTAGAGCAATCGAGGCGGCAGTATAGCTTCTTTTCTCGTTCAGCAAAACCAGCTTGTGGCTTCAAACAACTTCATAACAAGCGACCGAGGTAAAAATTTTTCTCCGTTGTTCTTACTTTTATAACTGCACCGAAAATTCAAATTCACAGTAATTTCGACGGCTGTCTCTTAAAAATTCTTTTCTTTCACATTATCTGCCAGGTGTTTTTAGCTGTTCTGCTGTGTAAAATCCTAGAATTCCGATGAGTTTTTAAAAAACTAATGTTCATCGCTGCAATGTTTTGATTTTTCATCACAACTTTCAGGGGGAAATGAGGTCGCTTCTGCAGTGGTCCGTATTTGGTATTCTGTCCTCATTTCTGAACAAGATTTCACTCTATTGATGTCAGCCCTTCAAGATCTCGTGGCCACAGCCGAACTCAGCACCATCACTGATGGCAAGATGGAGATTTCTGCTTCCCAGCTCAGCCAGCTTAGGACAGTTTGGGCCACCTGGCTTCGTTTGTCCGAACGCAAGGGACCTTGGGTAGCCAAACTAAGGACGAAAACGAACTCGCTGGATTCAGGGAGAAACAATGGCATACGAAATTATATGCATGCCATCCCCAAAGAACACAGGGTTTCCACACAACACTTTTTTGACACAGGAATCTTTCATTCCACTACAAATGCTAAGGAAGTAACGCGACAAAATCCTACGTTAACTGGTAGAGCAATGCTTCAACGCTCATCCCTCACGGAGTTTCAGTACAATATTCCATCAGATGTGCTTCCACTCACGGGATGGGATTACAAGGCAATCAAGAAGGTCTGCTACGATAAATCACTGCCTAATATGTACACCCTCTACATCTCAAATATCCTGCAAAAATCCTTTAGCAAAATGACCAGTGATCGGGTGAAGTTTCATTTTATTCTCTGTGACTTTCTAAAGATCGAATCTTTCCTTCCTGGAGGACTCAGATACGACCGCATTACTACTTCAAACTTATGGGACTACTGCCTCCTTGGAGATTTGCTGACCAAATTCAAGAGGTTTCTAAACAGTACCAATCCTCACACGGTCATGTTGACAGAAACGCACAACTGGTCGCTAAACTATATGCATGAAATCATTCACATTTTGCCATACTTGAAGGGAATAGATAAACTGAATGAGAAAGCTTTTGAAGACACACAGAATATGGAACTGGTGAATTTATCGGGACTTACCTCTGTTGTGGAATATCTTAACTTGACAGAAGAATTTCTTCGTTTTGTACGCGCATCTCTTCTAGCAACATATACAGATGAGCAGTTTGCTTTCTTTAAAAGAAAAATGAAGATTCCATCTCTTAAGTATCTGGTTCGTTCACTGGGGCTTCATCTTCGAGACTTTGTACGAAACGAAAACACTGTTGCTCCACATAGATGGGCGCTTAATTGTCGTCGAGTTGTCATGATGAGAGGTCATGAAAGAGTTCTGGAGTGGAAACTTGTTTCTGATTCTGTTACTCAGAGCACAGCAGAATGAATTCAATCAAACTGTTTTTTGTATTAGAACAGGTGGGGTTTACAATGTCCCACCAGTCACGAGTAATAATTTTGTCCGGCTGTCAGCCATTTCGCTTGTGTTTTCAATTTTCGCTCTTCCTAAATATTGTTTCCAAAGAAACTTCGGTATTGCATTGTATAACCGCTCTTTGCACTCTATAAGCTGGTAATACTGTCCTCACCGACCAACCAGTAACTTCATATTTTTTTAGTATATTTAGAATGGAATATTATTATCAAATGAAGCTTATGATTGCCAGAGGGTTGTCACCAAGAGTCATGTGACCTTTTTTTTAAAAATTTGATAGATCACCTATGCGTTTCCAGTATACCACACAGCGAAAATTTTATCAATAATACCATAGGTGACGAATTACTCCTTAATTTTGGCGCGAAATTTCAGCGATAATTTGTAATTTCACATGTGAAATTACAAAATTGCCATGGCAACCTTCGGTACGTCAAGATGGCGACGAACTTTTAAAATGTCATGAATGAAGATGCCAGGGCACATCAAGAAGGATTCTAACAGGTATTTTGTCGAAAAATTCTTAACTTAAGCCAAATTTAAGTTCTAAACGTTCGAGAGAGTTGAGTTCTCGATCGATACGATCCAGGATAAACATGTCAAATGGTATACTCGTGAAATTAAGGAATAATTTCATTTGCGTTTTGTCCAAATCCTAATAATTCTTATTATTAGGATTATCTTAATTATAAGGTCTTGGACAAAACGCGCGTGAAATTATTCCCTAATTCCACCCGTCACCATTTGGTTACACATACTTATAAACAAACAGTATGTACGTATCTTCCTTGTATGGGTAACGAGGGCGCCTTTGGGAATGAGGTTACGGGGTAGGGAAAACTCTGTATTGCATGCAAATTCTCTTACACAATGTCTTTTCTTTCCTAGATTCCAAATTCTACTCCTATTTCTCTATTTTTCAACCTAGCGGGACTTACCATAGATTCAAAAAGGGAAAGAGACGAGACAAAGAAATAAAACATGTCTCTGTTTTTTGTTCCGTTTCCGATCCGGCGGCTCCCGGCGGCTGGATATTCAACATCGTTCCCAGGGTTCTCTCAAACAGGAACCCTGAATCGAAAAAAGGTCAACTTTTAATTCTTTTATACAGTTGCAGTCGAACCTTCAGTAATAGACGCGTCTCTACAACGGCCACTTGTTGCTATCCCCAAGGCGGCCATTGTGGAGAGGTTCAATTGTAATTAATTAGGATTCAGGTCCCACCACCCATCTAATCTGCCTAATAGCTCACAGTACCTAGTGGATAGAAGGGTTTTATGAGGTTATTGTGAATGATTCATGATCAGTGAAAACTTGTATATATTATGTCACCACAAAGCTTAGTGAAGAGGAGGCCCAAGGAACCAACTGGGCTTTTAGTCGATGGGCTCCCTTTAACTTTAAGTAGAACTTATGTCTAACGTCTCCAAATACACACCTCTCTCGATTCATACTCAATGCTGGAGAGAGACCTGTCCTCCATTAATTCTAGAATATCTTTAGGCTGAAGTAAAATACGTTTGGTCTTTCACCCTCGAGTAAGGATTCGGAAACCAGCATTTCCAAAGTCCGATGATCGATTGAGGACGAAGCACACCTAATCCCCTCCCCCCCCCGCCCCCGAGGGACTCCCATATAAAATGACGGGGATACTGGTTGGAAAATAGGCCATATGCATGATGGCGTCATTTGACTACTATGACCAGAATCCTTTTCGTTTGTTCTTTTATATTTAAATTCGGTTATCCTAGCGAGGTTTAAATAACAAAAGCCCTAATTTACACAAGAAAACAACATTCTGAAGGATTCTGGTCGTGGTAGTAACATAACGTCATCGTGCAAATGGCCTATTTGAAAAATACTCCTAAACGAGGTCCATCTGGGCGCTGCTTAGGCTATATTCTAACCCCCCCCCCACTGAAAAACAAAAACAAAGGAAATACTCCAACAAAGTCTAACGGCATTTTTTTCTCTTTTATATATTAAATATTGCTTTATTTACAACCCTAGTCGATAACCTTATAGGTAACTACATAGAAGTTCTGTCCTGGAAGGAGCTCGCATGGGCTCCTGGTCCTGTACAAAGTGAGACCAAAATCTGCAATTTAATCCCCTAAGAGGTTACGCGTCATTTCCACAAGGGAGTTCTCCTACCCCGAACCTTTTTCTCTAGAGTAAGAGGCCTAAGGAAGTTACAGTAGAACCTCGATATAGCTAACCTCTATATAAGGAAGTCCTCGTTATAACGAACGATATTCTTCGCCCCAGTAATAGTAAAATATATGGAAAAGAACCTCGACATAGCGAAACCTCGTTATACCGAACATATTTGTCCAGTCCCTTGGCCCTCCGTTAAATCGAGGTTCCACTGTATGTCGTTATGTAACTCTCTAATAGAATAGCGACCGAAAACTAATTTGTGGTGGACACGGTACATTTTGTCTCTTCTATTTTCCCTAATTAAAATGTTCGTGAGAAAAAGTAACAATATGGTGCATGTAATATTCAAAGATACAATAGAGAACATTAAAGTTAGTACGTTTGCGGCTGACGGGAAACGTCAATTTGTACAAAGTGTTCATTACTTCTACATAAAAAAATTAGAAGTTTCACTACAGTTTTACATATAAAAAATATTTGAGACTGTTTTTATATGATTATTGCCCATTTTTAGAATTTTTTTAAAGTCGAATCTGACGTTTGCCGTAAGCGTTTCTTTAATCTTTACCGTCATCTATTTTCCAGCAACAAAACGAATGGTTTTGATAAAACTGGAACCAACGTATGGTGTGTAATTCTCTGGTTCAGTTCAATCATTTCAGCGGTAATGTAGGAGCAGTTCTTTTTGCAAGAAAGAGGTATTGAAATAGAACTTGAGCATATTTTACCAGGGAACAGAATAATTCTCACTCACTACAACGCGCTTAGCCTCCCATCAAAGCTTCCCAGCTAGCAAAAGAAGTTAGCGCCAAATCGAATTTTGACGACAGTTGGTCGAACTTTATGTGTACGTATAATTTAAAAAAAAGGGAGAAGGCCAGAGTGAAAGAGAGCGGCTAGCTCACAAGGCACTGGAAATGACTTCAGTCTCTGCCAGTAACAAAGACTTTAATCTACGTGGCTCTCAAATACGCGTTTATACCTACGCTTTTAAAATAAAGCGGAAAGCAACTTTGCATAAGATTTATCGGGAATGTAATCTCTCCCGGGCCTAACTTCTAATTTTCAGTTATGTGGCAAAAGGAAAACTCTCCATAGTTTTACTAGCCCTTTAAGACGAATAGTGAGGCTGAGGACAAGTGATCAACTATTGAGATGAAGTGGGAAGCGTTCACTCCAAAGTAAATTCGTCTCCCCTATTCAAGTTGACTCTACGGCAGTTCACAGCCGACTTGAAGGGAAACACAGTGTTTTCATTTCTCACATAGTCACGTGGCTCCAGGCCCAAATCAGAAGAGATAGTTTTTATGGATGGTAGCTTCTTCCTTTGTTTCCTGAAAGACTCCAATTCTGTTTCACTGTATGACTCGATAAGCGCGGCAAGGAGGTAGTGCTGAGCTGTGCTGGAAGTCTGGAATAATATTGTGGTATTCAATTAAGCTCGTCAAGTGCCCAGTCGCCACAAGCAATGGATTGTTTGTGTCCTTCACAACTTTCGGTGTGAGTTCAGGGGCCCTCAAAAATATATCAGCTTTCACTTCGGGCAAATAGTCATCCACCCAATTATGCATTTCAGTCATTAAGACTGAATGACTGTTGCTGACATTCAAGTACCCCTTGAATTTTGTCAGTAAGGCTGGAAGGGAAATATAGTCGCTTAGATTTGATGTCGCGATGCGGTCATATGTAAGGTCGACAGGTAGGAATGGATCAATCATCATGCAGTCACATAGTATCACCTCCAACTTCACCCGACCACTTCTCAGTTTGTCAATGCACTCATTCATGATATATGATAGGTAGGTGCTGAACATCTCTGGAAGCGAATCATTGTAGCAGACACTCTTCATGGCTTTGTAATCCCAGCTTGAAAAGGGAAGATTACTCGGGTCAATGTTGAAGTCGTACTCGTCTCGTTCTTCAGGCTCATACTGAAATAGATAACTTGTTAGAGTTACGTTCTCTCGCGTTAACTGCGATGATTTCACGCATTTTGAGGCGAAAAGCCCGTCTTTCATCCACAACTTAGCAGATCTTTTGTCGTCTTTTGGGATCGAGTTTAAATAGTTAAAAATCCCAGCCTCTGATCCAGTATCGCTATGGAAGGCGTCATTCCTTTGTTCAGTTACCCAGGGTCCTGTGAGAGAAGACAACTGGACCCAAACTTGCCACACCTCCTTCAGCTTACCCAGTTGATCAACTGACACCATGTTCACGAAGCCATTCGTTAGAGTGTTTAAATCACTAGCGTCCAAGAGGTCGCGCAGTGCGGACATCAGCAGTGAAAAATCGCTTTCTGAAATTCGTAGCGAATACCATATGCGGATTACAGTACCAATTCCGTCATTTTGTCCTGCGAGATGAAAAGTATCAAATTTTATAATACAACCAAGCAAGTAGAAACAATAGGAATTAGTGTTCTTTTGCTGAGATGGACTCTGTTAAGCCCATATTACTTGTTTTTCCTTTGCTTTTTAAAGGCTGCGTAATGAAGAGAAAGCGATCCCATTGTTATGACCGTCTTATCGTAAAGCTAATCAACGCTTGCGGTTCATTAAAAGAAGCCATCTTTAAAACGGTTTTGATAAAACGTAGGCATAGGAGTACTTGATAACTGATCCAGATAGCCTCTGTTTTGAACACGGCATGCTTATTCATTGCGGGAGAAAAATCATGTCAAAGCTTCAGGTTTTGATCTATATCATCCTATATACGTTCTGTGAAATCAAACGTTTTCAAATGTGCAAAAACTTTCTTAACAATAGACCATCATAGCATGTATGTTTTGTTTTCTCAACTCACAGCAGGTGATGTTTTCCAGGGAATTTGCCTTTTGTCTCTCCATAATTTATGCATACATATTGGCGTGGATGCACCTACATAGGGCTTCATTAGGTAGAAACAGTTCTCATGGGTACCATTACGTGATAAAAAAGTCTATTAAGGTGGCTCGATACAGTGTTTTGGGGTCAATACCTCCCGAGTTTGAGCATAAACTACGTCGTCATAAACAAATATTTGGAAAAATGGCCACCACAGTTGTACTAGATAAAAATGACATTTGTTATAATCAGGGTTGCAATGACATCGGAGTTGTCATAGCAACGAAATGACGCTATTACCTATTTTACTTGCAGCAGTATATCTCGGCACTGGGAACTGTTCTTTCAAAATCGTTCACGAGAGCTTTTTCCTCCAATAGCGGCCTTGATGTTCGTCAAGTTTAAGCGAAATCTGTAAATTCGCTAATATTTTGTCAGTAATTTTGTGTTTACAAGTGAGAGCTTATGATTATTCACCGTATTGTCTCCAAGTTTCATTTTTTCGTGCACAACAATAGCTAGCATTTTTGCATATTTCAAATTCATTGTTATTTACTGCTGTTCACGGGAAAATGAAACTTGGAGACAATACCTTCAATAACGAGAGGCTTTCACTTGTAATGACGAAACTTCCGATGAAAAATTAACGAACTGTAGCTCTTATTTTACTGACTTACAAGATATCAATAATCTTGAAACTAAAAGGTAATATAAAAGGAAGGTTAACCTCAAGAATCTTAAATTTTTTTAAAAATCTATCGAGCGGTTTAAAAATTATTCGCTAATCTGTTAAAGAAGACCAAAATGTTTACAAAACCGCTCACAAGAGTGCTTCGATACATACTAATCAAATCCTTCCTTCTAGCAATCGGCTGGAGCTATCGGCATGATCTTTCACACACGTTTTTAAAAAGATTGAAACCACTATGAGGTGATATGGCACGTCAAAAGCGCTTCGTTTTCTACAGATAACGGCCAAATATCAAGATTTTCCATTTTTTAGTGTGCATGTTTTTCTAACCAAAACCTTCATCCCAAAATATCTCGATACGGCTCTTACACATTTCGCTCAAACTTGACGAACATCAATCGCTATTGGAGGAAAAAACTCTCGTGAACGATTTTGGTAGAACAGTTCCCAGTGCCGAGATATACTGCTGCAAGTAAAATAGGTAATAGCGTCATTTTGTTGCTATGACAACTCCGATGTCATTGCAATCCTGATCATAACATATTGTCATCTTTATCTAATACAACTGTGGTGGCCATTTTTCCAAACATTTGTTTATGACGACGTAATTTATGCTCAAACTTGGGAGGTATTGACCCTAAGAAACTGCATCGAGCCACCGAAATGATCTTTTGCAGTGCACATGTAGTGAACAGTTAGGGGTTCACGTATAAGTGGACAAGAATAGACAAAAGCTGTCATTTGTTTATGTTTTAAGCAACAAGATCTTTCAATGTTATTTGCTAGTCTTCCGGCATTCAAAGAGTGATTAAAGGAAATATTCCAGTCGAAAAGGCTACATTTTACATTTTTTTCTTTTATCTCACCTTTGTATAACATGTATAGAGGTAGAACGGTTCTGGCCAGGGTACAAGGACAGATGTCGTTTAAAACGAAACTGACTTGCTGTGTATAAACATCAGGTAACGAAGCAATCGTAAGTAGAACATTCCGTGGATCACCAACTCCACATAGCAACAAAGCCAGTGGGTTCGAATACTCCTCGCCTTCATTCATCGGCAAGTTAAGCAGGTCTACAGCAGGCACATTACCCCAGTAGTAAGTACGTTCCATGCCAGGGAACAGCCGAGCATTTATGCGGTTCATTTTTATACTCTTCGCCACCTGTATTGTTTTTATTACAACTTCATGGCATTGCTCCTTGTGGCTTTCCCAGTTCTTTCTCTGGCAATCTCTATCGCAATACCATGATCTAAGACAAGTAGGGCATCTAAACATGCCTTCATCTGTTCTACCACATCCCATACACTGCTTTTTCAGCGCTGCTGCATCGCAGTCGGGTTGATGTCGCCACTTGTCTTGTTTCTGACATTTCTTGGAGCAGTAATACGCCACTCTGCATCGCGAACACAGCTGAGTGCAGACTGCCTCGCACCGCCAGCAATGACCAATTCTATTCATGATCGGGATCTCATGCGATTTCAATATGGCACAACGATATTGTTTCTGTGTCGCAGTAATTAAAGAAGAGGCTTTACAATTCACTTGTGATCGAGTCTTTTCAAGTTCGTTCGTTACGCAACGCTGCTGCTGAATCACCCTTGATTAATGTGATTTGGAAGCCCTAGTATCTATAAATGCAAATTTTCTATCCTTGTTGTGAGAAGGAACTACTATGAACCCGGAAGCAGATCGCTGAGACGTCAATATATTCTCTTTTCTGAGAATTTCTTAACATATGCTAATTTGTTCAGTGCTTCATAAGGTCACCTGTGTTATTTTTACAATAGCCGCGCCGCGTGGCTACAGAACATTTCTGCCCTTCACTAGCACAGCCTTGCGATCAAAACATTACAATTCAACGGCAATCTACTGTTAGTGCCCCGTTAGACAAGACTGCCATGTCGCTCAACAATGCAAAGTAACTCAAGTACTTAGAACCCTGGGGGGGGGGGAGGGCACTCAACAAAGTTTTGCAGAGGGAGGATCCACCACCCAGAGCTCCAACCCATAACCTCTTTGTTTACCATTTTTGACAGAAAAGTTGCCCTTTTAGTTGGTATACCTCTTATTCACAAATGGTAGCCCCCCTGTCATATACCTAGTTTAGAACGCTGCATCCCATGTAACTGCTGTAAATGCACTGTCTATTTTTTTTATCAGAACAAAACACTTTTTTAATAACCAGATAGCTTTCTTGGGTCCTTTACAGACCGAAATGACACACTTCCGTAACCTTTCATACTCTTCAACGAGTGAAATTTCACCAGAACAAAGTCCCAGTTTTTGGGAGGAGCTTTCCCATATAGGCTGTTATAAGGAGTATCCTGGGTCTGGGACGGCAGAGAATTTCTTCGACGATGAAGGATGTATTGGCCGGAATCGTTGGAATCGTGCGACAACGGGACTACAAAGCATCCTAGATTAGTAACAGCCAAGGAAATATACTTTCATGGCAGAACGTTCACCAATCACTCCAAGTCTCTTTGATAAAAGACTCTCTTTTTGATGATTTAAATATATTCATGATTGCGTGAGCTCAGTATTTAAGATCACCAGGCCGAACACCGGGGATTAGCCTCAGTTTTCCCTCTATGAGAAGACAAAGCTCATCCGAATCGAATACTTTTGAGAAGTGCAATTTGTCTGTGCTTTTAATGTTACAGAACCGCCATTATTCCAGTTGTAAATAAACTCGTATGTGATAGCTTCTCCAATATTGCTTTGCCACTCGAGTCTGCTTCTTGCACTGCTAATGTATGCTGCAACTCAAGTTCTTGGAAAAACCCGCTCTATTCTCGGAAATCCGAGTGTAGAATGATAAAAAAGCTCGTTTATCTCTTTCTCTCTTTTTTGTTGTGCCACGTCCGTTTTGTTCAGTCAGGTGAATTATCACCCTTACTTACCTCTTGACTTCGACTTATAAAAAGTCTCAAACGGACCCTGTGCCTGTGATAAATGTTTATCAGACATGTTGTCATGGAATGTGGGGTGGGAGGGGGGATAGTGCGGCTTTGGTCTTTCTAGTTCCCAATTCGTTATTGCATTGATGACTACGGTAACGTGGGTGGCCTGATATCAGATGTCATGGTGTCCTGTTACAACTGACATCTGACCTAGGAGTGTCAAGTCATTTGTGTGGCGTAGCAAATGCGTCATCATCATTGCTACTGAATGTCAATATCTAGTAATGTCTCATCTTATTAGTGATGAGAATATGAGCGAATGGAGGAGGAAAAGAAGTGCACACTAAGCCTTGAAGAAGAAGAGTATTGGTTAGGTGTCAGCTGGTTTGCTATATAACGGTCACGCGAAGACGATATCTCCCAGATTATTTTTAGTAAGTTTAAAATTCAAGGGAAAGATAAATATACCAAGGTAAGTTATCTGATTGAGTCTATTCTTTATCCTTAATGGCGCCAAATGTCTTTGTCACTACATCTTGCTAATTAGTCTATGAAGTACGGGGTAATGTGAGACGCCCAATAACTGATTCATCTTGAGGAAACGATCCCAGTAAGACGATCTAAAAGATAACCATTGCCGGCAGGAAGTATAGGTTTGTTTGCATTCCCGAGTATCTTTGAAGGCAGTTGCTGACTCAATGCTCTGCAACGAGGTAACCTAATAATTTCCCTTATACTCCAGAGACAACACGTAGCAGCAAAGGTCATGAACAAACCCAACCATTGCTGGCGATGCGAGGTAATCTGTACTCAACAGTGTTCGCGATGCAGAGTGGCGTATTACTGCTCCAAGGAATGTCAGAAACAAGACAAGTGGCGACATCAACCCGAATGCGAGACAGCAGCGTTGAAATTGCAATGTTCAGCGTGCGATATTGAACAAGAGGCATGAAGAGGGACTGATGAAGTGTACCAACTATTTGAAAGGCTGTTATTGCAGCACGGAGTGTCAGAGAAGCGACTGGAAAAGACACAAAACGTTCTGCCATGATGCTGTTGACAAAACATTGAAATTAGCACAAAGAATGAAGGCGGTTCATGAGATGAAAAAGGATAACACAGGCCTCGGAGCCACTTACTACTGGGGTAATATCCCAGCTGTAGACCTGCTCAATTTGTCAATGAATGAAGGAGAAGAGTATTCCAAGTCACTGGCTTTGTTGCTTTGCGGAGTTGGCGATCCAAGGAATGTTCTACTTACAACTGCTTCGTTACCTGATGTTTATACCCAGCAAGTCAGCTTTGTTTTAAATGACATCTGTCCTTGCACATTGGCCAGAACCGTTCTGCTTCTATACATGTTATATAAGGTATGTTTAATCATCAAGATACAAGTTGCTTAGGGTATACCGTAAATGATCGATTAAGCGCCGCAGCGCTTATTTAATTTTTTCGTTTCATTTTTTGTTATAGGTGCGGCGCTTATTTCAACTACGGGTAAAACACTGAGGGGAATATAGAGAGTATTAAATAGGGCGCGAACGTAATAGGTATGTTTAATTTAGCATAAAATATGTACACCTAGAATTGTTATGTAAACCAGGTTTGAAAAGTTTCCACATATTAAAACTTTAGGACCGTTCATTTTTTATGAGAGAGGGGGGCTGGTGGGATTTTGGGGGGGGCAATCAAAAAAAAAAATTGGCTTGAAAGGGGGCCAGCCGAAAAAAAATGAAGGAAAGGGGGGAGTCGGACGAAAAAATTAGATTAAAAATAGGATAAGAGACGTTTACAAATCGAAGAAAAATTGTGCTCTTTTATTTATAACAAATATGCTAAGACAGTTCCAGGGTAACAAGAAAACTTCTCAACAGCTTTTATATTTTATAAGGACAGTGAACATACCATAATAACAGTCTTAAATAGCAACAACTTTCTTTTCATTCATAAAAATGTTGTTGTCAAGCTCATATAATTAAAACCAATAATTTGAGTCCTGAATTGGAACTGACCTCGTTACCAGAGCTTTTCTCCGAGAAATTTAATGGGAGGGGCATGAAACTACTACGAGGTGTCCCGTTCCTCATTTTCGACGTTCTCTTCGATCTCGTCGTCGCTGTGTTCCTCTTCTTCTTCCTCCTGTTCTTCTTCGTTGTCTTTCTCTTCTTCCTCTTCTTCGTCGTTTTCTTCTTCCTCTTTGTTCGTGTCTCCGACGTTTGAGCTATAATCTTCAGGATGCAGGAAGCAATACATCCTGTTTCTTACTTCTGCCTTAAGGTTGGTAATAAGCCTGCTTTGTGCCGCGTTGCTGAAGTAGCTTGATTGCAGTAGGTGAGCGATGAATGCTGCATCCCGTGTTAGCAACAATGCTGCTACATCTTCAACGTTTATGCACGCTTCCGGAATTGTCATGGAGGGAGGATAAAGAAGACAATTGGGAAGCTC